AACCGCATGGTCAAGTGGCTGAATATGGTAGCACGAAGTCGATGAGAAAGTACCACTGTCAACATTTTGGAGACAAAATGGCCACCATCCATCAGGGCACGTGTTTTCTGAGATACGAATAGTGGCCACACAGAGAGAGAGCTAAGATGTTGTTAGGGAGAGGGAAGATATAGAGCCAGGGAACACAAAGTGTTCAGAAAACAATCGGGGGGAACACTCATTTGGGAAATGAACAGACATAGGACCAGGTCTGCTACAGAAAGTATGCACTTCTGTCTGCGATAAAAACACTTGTGGCTCTGAGGCCTAGCTCTCTTTGATTTGCACCAGGGCAAGAGGAATTGTGCAGCCAGCAACAGATATGACAACTCTGTTACTGGAATCTTAAAAAGTCCATACAGGACACAGTTCCAAAAGAAAATAACTGTAATGATATTGATGTTACAAAGTTTTGGAGTCCAGTAGCCAGATCAGCAATGTTTTCTGCCAGAGGTAGCCACTCGTTACCCAGGTGGTTGAGCCCCTGAGCCTTGAGTGGCCTTCTGGTCTTAAGCAGAGATGGGAGACTGGAACAGAAAGATGATAATCGTAGTGAGGCAAGCCGAGGTCAGTGGGAAGGAGAAGCAGCAAAGTCAAAACATTCCAAATTCAGCAACAGGAAGGAGAAACAGGAACACGCTGCATTAGAGAGTACAGGAACCACAATAATCTGGCCAAGGTACAGAGACAGGAAGTGGCTTTTATAGGCCAAGAACCAGACACCTGACCAGACACAGCTGAAGAGAGTTGTCACTGATAACCTTGACTCTACAAGCAATGGTATCAGATCTCAGGTAAATTTGCAAAAGGCAGGCTGGTGTACTGGTAAGGAAGAGGTTTAGCACCATGTAAACCGGGGTTCAAAACCCAGCAGAGTCAGTTCCTCACATTACCTCCACCTCTACAGGCGCAGCCTCTGGATGCCCTATTTCCTGGTTTAGAAGGGTACTGTGCATAGAAAAACTGAAGAAGATCAGGAGTGTGAATATTGTCCACTGGTTCCCACGATCTATCCTCCTCACCATAGCCTTTCCAATGAACCAAATATTGAAGCTTGTTGCGGAAGATCCTGGAGTCAAGAATTTTTTCCACCTCGTATTCATCTTCACCATCCACGAGGACTGGTGGTGGGGCAGGCAGGGCTCGACCAGGGAAAGTATTTTCATGAAAAGGTTTAAGCAGTGCCACATGAAACACCGGATGTATTTTCATGGAATCCGGAAGTTGCAGACGGAAGGTGACTGCATTGATCTGAGCGATGATCTCAAAAGGTCCCATGAACTTTTGACCCAATTTATGAGAAGGAATCCTAAGCTTAAGATTCTTTGTTGACAGCCAAACCTTGTCACCAACATGATAAACTGGGGCCTCCTTTCTGTGCCTATCAGCAGCTCTTTTGTAACATTCCTGAGCCTCCGAAAGAGTCTCCTTCAACAGTTCTTGGGAATCTCGTAAGGCGGTTAGCCGGTCAGTGACTGCAGGAATGGAAGTAGTAATTGGGAGACTCACTAGAAAGGTTGGATGGTAGCCATAATTGGCAAAAAATGGGCTCAGAGAAGTGGAGCAGTGTTGGGCATTGTTATAGGCAAACTCCGCCGTGGGTAGAAGATCCAGCCAGTCATCCTGCAGGTAACTAATATAGCACCGCAAATATTGTTCTAAAGTCTGGTTGGTTCGCTCAGTCTGTCCATTACTTTGTGGATGAAAAGCTGAAGACAGATTTACATTAATACCTAGAATAGAACAAAAACATTTCCAAAAATGAAATGTAAACTGCACTCCCCTGTCAGAAATGACTTCATCAGGCACTCCATGCAAGCGAAATATTTCCTGAATAACTAGGTCAGCAGTGTTTAGCTGAAGGGAGACCACGAGCTGGTATGAAATGACTCATCTTAGTTAACCGGTCCACAACAACAAGAATGTTAGTGTGTTCCTTAGAGGGAGGTAGTTCCACAATAAAGTCCATGGATATAGATCCCCAGGGACAATGAGGAATCGGAAGAGGCTGAAGCAAGCCAACAGGGGATGAGCGAGGAGTCTTATGTCTGGCACATACATCACAAGAGGACACATACTTCTTAACATCCTCATAATATTTAGGCCACCAAAAGGATCGGGTAAGTAGTTCTTGTGTCTTTCGGATTCCTGGATGACCTGCTGGTTTAGAGTCATGGTAGAGGCGTAAAACGTCCAGTCGCACTGATTCTGGAACAAACAGACGTTGTTGAAAAATCCAAAACCCATTAAGCATGGTCATATGAAGATCACGAGGAGGATCACGAAAAACTGGATCTTTAGAGTAGCCCTTTTTAATGCGAGACATTAGATCAGAAGGAAAGGTAACTCCTAAAAATCTACTCTCCGGCAAGATGGTGGCCTTGGTTACTGTAGTATGGAGGGGGTCAGCTATCCTAGACAAGGCATCCGCCTTGCCATTTCTGGAACCAGGGCGGTATGAAATAAAAAAATTAAACCTTGAGAAAAATAGGGACCAGCGTGCTTGTCTGGCTGACAGTCTCTTAGCGGATTGAATACATTCCAGATTTTTGTGATCTGTGAGGACAGTAATTGGATGGGTGGCTCCCTCCAAGAGATGTCTCCATTCGGCGAAGGCAGCTTTTATAGCCAAAAGTTCTTTATTCCCTATATCATAATTTCTTTCTGCTGGTAACATCTGGCGGGAATAGAAGGCACATGGATGTAACAACATCTTAGGTCCAGTCCTTTGAGACAGTATAGCCCCAACAGCTGAATCAGAAGCATCTACCTCTACAGTAAATGGCAATTCTGGCTGAGGATGTACCAAGATAGGGGCAGATGTAAACAGAGTCTTTAATCTGGAAAATGCAGTGTCAGCCTTATTGGACCACTGAAAAGGAGTCCCTTTACGTGTAAGTTCAGTGATCGGTGTAATAACGGCAGAGAAATTCTTAATGAAACGCCTGTAAAAATTGGCAAACCCCACAAATCTCTGTATATCTTTTTCATTCTTGGGGATGGGCCAGTCCAGCACAGCTTTAATTTTACTTGCGTCCATACTTAAACCTTTAGGAGTTATTACATACCCCAGGAACTGAATTTCTGTTTGTTCAAACTCACATTTTTCCAGTTTAATGTATAGGTGGTGGGTACGAAGGCGCTCAAGAACAATGCAGACCTGTTTTCTGTGATTTTCAAGATTATCAGAAAATATCAGGATATCATCCAAATATGCCACAACAAACTGATCCAGGAGATCCCGTAGTACATCATTGATTAGATGCTGAAAAGTTGCAGGGGCATTACAAAGCCCAAATGGCATTACTAGATATTCATAATGTCCGTACCTGGTTCTGAAAGCCGTTTTCCATTCATAATTTGGTTTTATGCGAACCAGATTATATGCCCCCCGTAGATCAAGCTTCGTAAATCTTTTGGCTGAACGAAGTCTCTCCAGAAGTTCAGGAATGAGAGGCAAGGAATAACGTTTTTTAACAGTGATTTTATTAATGTCCCTGTAATCGACACATGGCCGTAGACTGACATCTTTCTTTTCTACAAAGAATATAGGAGCTCCTGCTGGAGAAGTAGATGGTCGAATAAAGCCTTTGGCAAGATTTTCTTGTATGTATTCACGAAGTGCTTTCAATTCAGGCTCAGAAAGGGAGTATATACGGCCAAATGGGATAGCAGCTCCAGGTAGCAGCTCTATGGGGCAATCATAAGGCCTGTGAGGTGGAAGCTGATCAGCATTCTTCTTATCACAGACATCTGCAAAATCCCGATATTGTAGAGGAAGCTTAGTTAAGTTTGTAGCAACCATTTCATTAATTGTTGTGGTAACAGGTGTCGCCTTAGAGGGTTGACAATTCATTAAGCAGTGTTCTGAAGGAAAGGACAAGGTTCTAGTCTTCCAATCAATCTGTGGGTTATGCAGAGCATAATTTAGGGATAGACTGAATTTTATTTCCTGCTGCAAATTTAATGTCCATAAAGTTTCCGCCTGCTCCGGAATCTATCATAGCTGTAGTTGAAATTTATTATCACCATATTGCAAAGTGATAGGCACCACCAAATGAGGATGTTGAGTCATCATACCTTCTTCACCCTGAGCCAGAGAAAACAAGGGTTGTGTGACAGAATCCAGTTGGTCTGAAATCTGGGATTGGTGTGGAATCTGTGCACCCTCAGCAGTCATAGCTATTGTTCTTTTAGACTTGTTAGGGCAATTGATGGCATAATGCCCTGCACTACCACAATACAGGCATAAGTTGTGAGTGCGTCGCCACTGTTTTTCTTCATTGGATAATGGCCCTCTTATTAGATCTACCTGCATAGCCTCAGGTTCAGGGTCTGTAGGTGTTTGTGGGGTCGGAGTAGAAATTCTTGAATAGAAAGTAGGAGTAGCACTTGGTTTAAAAGAGCCCTGTCTTTCCAATCTTCTTTCTGAAAGTCTCCGATCAATATGGATAGCCAACCGCACAAATGCATCAAACTCAACAGGAAGATCAACACGAGCTAGCTCATCTTTTATAGCTTCTGAGAGACCCCTTCTGAAGTGGAACCTCTGGGCTGATTGGTTCCAAGTAGTATCAGTAACCCACTGTCTGAATTCAGCAGCATATTCAGCCTCCCTTGATGTAAATGAAGGAGAGTGGCTTCTGCTGTAGCACAGCGATTGGGATCATCAAAAACTAGGCACATGGCCTCAAGAAAGTCTTTTAAATTTCCCAAGACTGGACTGTCTTGTTCCAGAAAAGGGGAGCCCCAGGCCAGGGCTTCATCTTTTAAGAGGGAGAAAATAAATCCCACCTTCTCTCTTTCAGATGGAAAACGGTTAGGTAACATCATGAAATGCAAACGGCATTGATTTAGGAAACCCCTAAATTTTTTGCGGTCTCCTCCAAATTTTTCTGGTAGAGGCAAGCGGGCATCTTGTGCAGGTGTAACAGTAGTAGTAGCAGCAGCCGCAACATCATGTGCCCTGTAGCTGGTAAGCTCACTATGCATTGATCGAACTTAATTTTGCAGTTCAGCTACCTGATCCTGCAGCACTTGAATGGTCTGTGCCTGGGTCTGCATAGTTCTTGCATTAAAAGCAACCTGCTGGGCCAATGCAGAATCTGATCCGACGGTCTCCATGAATGGGCCAGATTATTCTGTAATGATATTGATGTTACAAAGTTTTTGGAGTCCAGTAGCCAGATCAGCAATGTTTTCTGCCAGAGGTAGCCACTCGTTACCCAGGTGGTTGAGCCCCTGAGCCTTGAGTGGCCTTCTGGTCTTAAGCAGAGTTGGGAGACTGGAACAGAAAGATGATAATCGTAGTGAGGCAAGCCGAGGTCAGTGGGAAGGAGAAGCAGCAAAGTCAAAACAGTCCAAATTCAGCAACAGGAAGGAGAAACAGGAACACGCTGGATTAGAGAGTACAGGAACCACAATAATCTGGCAAAGGTACAGAGACAGGAAGTGGCTTTTATAGGCCAAGAACCAGACACCTGACCAGACACAGCTGAAGAGAGTTGTCACTGATAACCTTGACTCTACAAGCAATGGTATCAGATCTCAGGTAAATTTCCAAAAGGCAGGCTGGTGTACTGGTAAGGAAGAGGTTTAGCACCATGTAAACCGGGGTTCAAAACCCAGCAGAGTCAGTTCCTCACACAAGCTGTTACTTACATGTGCAGCAACTCCATTCATCTCCCTTCTCCTCCATTCCAGTCAGCTCACTGTGTAAATCTCGCGAGACCCGCGGCTGTCAGAGCGTTGCCACGGGAGACTTACACAGTGAGCTAACGAGTATGTTAATTGTTAATATTTTTTTTATTATTTTTTTTATTATTTAAATATATATATCTTTAATTTTTTTATATTTTTTTTGTCCCCTCTCGCTGCTTGTTGCCTGGCCAGGGAGAGGGCTATATTATTCCCTGGTGGTCCAGTGGCATGGGCTGTGCAGGAGGGGGGCTGGGAGCAAGCTGTTACTTACATGTGCAGCCGCTCCGTTCAGCTCCCTTCTCCTCCGTTCCGGTTAGCTCACTGTGTAAGTCTCCCGTGTAATTTTATTGGGATCTAATTTTATTAGATTTTACTAGGCTTATTCTCGAGTCAATAAGTTTTCCCAGTTTTTTGGGGTAAAATTAGTGGGCTTGGCTTATATTCGGGTCGACTTATACTCGAGTATATACTATATATATATATATATATATATATATATATATATATATATATAAAATAAAATAGAAAGTAAGCAATGAGAAAAAATATCAAGGAAAAAAAGGCGCTACGTCACAATGACTGGAAAGGAAGCAAAAATGGTTTATATAACAGCAATGGTGACAGATGAGGTAACAAGTATTCCTCTGTCTATGGCAAAAATACTGTTGCAAAAACAAAGTATGATTTAAGTATCAATAGAACAGATATGTATCCAATAATTAACCTTTGTTATATGTATATAGTTCTATAGTTCTAACCTCAACATATGAGGAAAGGGATTTAGGGGTGATTATTTCTGATGACTTAAAGGTAGGCAGACAATGTAATAGAGCAGCAGGAAATGCTAGCAGAATGCTTGGTTGTATAGGGAGAGGTATTAGCAGGAGAAAGAGGGAAGTGCTCATGCCATTATACAGAACACCGGTGAGACCTCACTTGGAGTATTGTACACAGTACTGGAGACCGTATCTTCAGAAGGATATTGATACCTTAGAGAGGGTTCAGAGAAGGGCTACTAAACTGGTTCATGGATTGCGGGATAAAACTTACCAGGAATGGTTAAAGGATCTTAACATGTATAGCTTGGAGGAAAGACGAGACGGGGGGATATGATAGAAACATTTAAATATATAAAGGGAATCAACACAGTAAAGGAGGAGACTATATTTAAAAAGAAGAAAAACTACCACAACAAGAGGACATAGTCTTAAATTAGAGGGACAAAGGTTTAAAAATAATATCAGGAAGTATTACTTTACTGAGAGGGTAGTGGATGCATGGAATAGCCTTCCAGCTGAAGTGGTAGAGGTTAACACAGTAAAGGAGTTTAAGCATGCGTGGGATAGGCATAAGGCCATCCTAACTATAAGATAAGGCTAGGGACTAATGAAAGTATTTAGAAAATTGGGCAGACTAGATGGGCCGAATGGTTCTTATCTGCCGTCACATTCTATGTTTCTATAGCATGAACAAAACAAAACAACTGAAGATATGGAAATTGGGATAGGGATTCTAGTCTGGATAATAATCTATTGCTTATCAATGCCTTCAAGGGTACCCTGTTATCCCCTTAAGGACACATGACATGTGTGACATGTCATGATTCCCTTTTATTCCAGAAGTTTGGTCCTTAAGGGGTTAAACTCCCACCCCTATCTTGCCTAGCCTTCTAATATAAGTAACAGATCATAGATGGGGGGCGGGATCAGCATAAAATCAATCTTCAATAATATACTTTTATTTAGGTAAATAATATATCAGAATATTGTCCCTTGTCTATCAAAAAAAACATTGTCTTCTACTGTCCCAACGCACGTTTCGCCACAACCTGGCTCTTCAAGATAAATCATTTGGAATTTTTTATTGAATAATTTAGAAAACTTATAAAATAAATCCAGGCCTTTGTTCCCTGGTGTCCCATTTTTGGGGTCACCTGGAAACTGTCCACAATAAGCCCATCAGTAGATACATTTGCACTGAGTCAGCGCTCCCTGTATGAGTTTGGTGACATTGGTGGCCACATTTCTCTGCTAGTAACATAGTTGATATGTTTCTCAGGGTTCCCAATAGTTCGGCTTTCAGTGGGACAGTCCTGATTTTGAGGGCCTGTCCTGCTGTCTCAATTTAGTTCCCTGGTGTCTCGCATCTGGGGACCCCAGGAATATGTTTTCGGGTAGCAGAGGACAAGTGCATCATTCAACGCGCTTGTGCTGGACCCTGCAAGTAGAGGACCAGTTGGAAGGCTGTTCGGCAGCCTAGCAGGCTGGATGACACTTCCATTTTCTGTTGAAGGTGTCTTCAACTTGTGTCACTGGTGATGCCCAATGTTGGGAGGTATGGATTTCCTCTCTGAAAAATATGCTTACATGTTATCCATTTTTCAACTTTACTTATTTCATTATTTACATTCATTTGTGTTATTGGAATGACAAGTACTTTTAACACCCAGTCTGCTCCAGGCATTGCTTTCAATATATTGAGTTCTGAAAATATAATCTTACAAAGGGACGCAAACTAATGATTTAATGAATTTAAAATTATTTATATTCCTTTCACATCATTATACCTTGTGCTTAATAAACCATAAAAACCTCAATAAAACCTGTTTATGTGAAAGAAAAATAACTATCTAGATAGAGAACAAAAGATTGTAAAGCATATTTTTATATATTTTTTAACGTTCCCTAATTTAACATAATCTTGATGGTGTGTGACTATCCAAGTAAAATGTAATTATTTGTACTAGAGGTATTTTGCCTCAGAGGTGTGTTTTCTGATGGCATCGATATACTTTCAGTTGTAAATGCACATATTTTACAATCTCCGTGACATATATTTTGTCCCAATATTTATTAAAGTGTCACTGCAGACCCCTTAACAACTTTAGCTTGCTGAAGAGTGTGTCCTCTTTTTTCATTTTCAAACAAATACAGATTTCAATAGAAATTGAGTCTTTTATAAATTAACCTGGTTACACCCCATTGGCTCTCAAGCAGAATGCAGCAGCATCTAGCTTACAAAGACTTCTCATTGAGCTGTACTGGGAAGTCTGTGATTGGACAGCCACGGAAAGTCTGGGTGCGGTTAGAAGAGGAGGGCTTGCTAAGGCAGCAAACATGAGAACTGCAGGTTTTGAAAGCTGATTTTATATATACCCCAATTAAAAAAATACATAATTAAATGTATGCAAGTTTTTTTTTAGGTAAATCTACTAAACAGTGATTTTTAAAAAATTTATATTTTATTATAGCAGTGGAGTGTCTGTTTAATTTGGCATTAAAACCAACACTCCAAATGATATTTGTCAAATCATATGACTACTCCATTTCTCTTGGAAAAATCTGAACATAGGTCATAGTGGGCTTAACCACCCCATTTTCACACACAGGTGCCCCGTTTCAAGGTTAGGGAATGAGGGAGTTGTAGAAAAACAGAGAAAATCAAGTTGGTTTTCCTGTCACCCCAACCAATCAATAGACTGGAGGTAGGATCAGGGAAAAAGGTCAGGACAGTGGTACCAGCTCCACCTAAATATGGTCTTGTACCCGGAGATTATGTTAGAATTACTAGATTCTTAGAATTACTAGAATTTTTACTGCTTATATTCTATATACCTTTCAAGAATTCTCCAAGAGATATTGTGTTCATGGTGTATTTATTATCTATACCAGTTATTTGAGGGACCTCTTTGAGGGTGCCCTCTTAATTTAGCTATTTTTGTTTTTCAGTTGTAGAAAAACTAATGAATTACTGCCATTATTTTTTTCATTTAAGAAATATATGTTTTGAAGTTTAATTGAAAAGATTTAAAACTCATAATGTGTAACTACATATATTTATTTTAATATATTTTGAATAGCTTTATGATTGTTTTTTCAGCACCATTACTAGGCACTAGCACTCCTGGTGGTGCTTCCAATTTCTGTTTTACTGTGATAAGTATCATAATTAGTACTGCGCTGGTAACAGCTTAGTCAGTATTTCATGGCTTAAATAATGTAAAAAAGCTATGACAGGGTTTAAAATTATCTATCAAGGGATACACTAGTGCCAGGAATCCTTTGTGTTTCTCTTTCACCACCAGTCCCCCCCAGCCCATCTGTATCTCTTTTTCCTCTTCTCCAGCCCCTCTGTGTCTCTTTCACCCCCAGCCCCTTTGTATTTCCACTCACAGGCCCTTCTGTGTGGCATTTATATCCCCAGCCCCTCTGTGGATTTTCTCACCCCAGGCCCATCTGTGTGTCTTTCTCCCCCCCCTGTCCCTCTGTGTGTCTTTCTCCCCACTCAAGCCCCCCGTGTACCGTGCCACTCTCCCCTCCATGTCCATTAGAGGTCCCTTCCCCTCCCTCCCTTGTCCCTTAGTGTTCCTCTCCCCTCCCTCCCTTGTCCCTTAGTGTTCCTCTCCCCTCCCTCCCCTGTCCCTTAGTCAGGGGCGTTTTAGCCGCGAGGCAAACAAGGCATTTGCCTAGGGCGGCATTTTTCAGGGGGCAGCAAAAAAAGCCGCCCCCAAATGCCCAGGGCAAATGCCTTGTTAGCCTCGCGGCTAACTGACATGCTGGGCTG